CGAACTGCAGGGCCTGAATATGTTTTCACCTTGCGCTGTATGTTTTTTTGAGCGCTTCGATGGTGGATTGGTTACTCTCATGCGATTGTGTCTACCGTGTCGTTGGGAAAATTCCACTGTACTGTAAAGGCGCTTAATAGATTTTCGACTTTCCGACGTGGGCCTGAAGGAGTTAGCACTGTTACACAATAACATTATTTTAAGCTCTACAGGAACACCTCAGGCCTTACAAATAAACACGACACCGAGGCACCACCCGTTGCATAAATTGTTTTATGCGGCGTGAGTGTTGAGTACCCAATTAATTGTAATCTAGGCGAGCGTTAAATAGTTTTGTTCTAATATTAAAATTGCTACCTTGCTTCTTGCAGAGGCAGGTGCATTCGTACCTCTCAGTAGATATGGCCAATTGCAATGGACTAAAGTATTAAATACGCGAATATTCAGGGACCAGTGAATCCTCAAAGACCTTTTCTGTTGCGCAGTGTACGGCGAAATCGCCCAAAAACTACGTCAAAATCTTCAACCCGAAAGTTAGACCGTTTTCATACATTGATTTCTACTGCATTTTTAAACTAATCCGGAGTTCCCATTTAAGCCTGCATGTCCTATTTGGCATGGCATTTTTGCATAGTAGCCCATTCACCACTAATTCTTTCGGAAAAGTATACAAATTGTTTTCGAAGTTTGCTAACCGGCTTAAAAAGTGTCCACGCAAGTCGGCCCTAAGCCAGATTATCCACACATTATGCAACAGCTATGAACACTCGACGTGCATGTCGCGGGAAAACATTTCGTAACCAGAACGGGGATTTTCTGACACAAAATGAAGCAACATACCTAAAATGATTAGCGACACGTTGAAAGTCTGCTGTACCGCCAAGCACGCACCCTACACGAGCGAGCAACAATGAAAGAGGGCTGCGCTCGGGAGTGAAAAATGTCGGTAGCCTGGGATTACGTGCTCGATGACGCTGTAATATGTTTTCCAGGGCCTTGCCATTTACGGATTTTTTCCGAGATCTAATCTCACTGAGTGTTTCACCAAGGACGTTAGCGACAACGCCCATATTCTTCATAACACGTAAAGGATGTCGAAACAATTGGGCTATATACTGTCAACAGTGTGCGCACGCGATTTATGTCGCAGTCATGCAATTTCTGGTGGCTGGTGATTAATGATCGTGGAGTAATAGCAGACACACGTAGAAGAAAACTGTTTTCAATGCCATAGAAACCTTTCGCTTGTTAACATTTACCAACCGTTAAGCTCGCATAACCTACCATTAACTCGCGCTATGGTATAGCGTTATTTTTACAACATTATGCCGTCAACCCACACCGACGAAAATAGCTCGACTTTACGCATGTTTTAACAGTAGTACAGGTCTAAAGATAAAGAGTGACTTTGTTTTGAAACTTGTCTCCACATAATAAATTCTTAAAGTGCATTTTTGTTAAAAAGAATTTCCCATGTTTTCCATGGTTGCAGAAGTCGGAAATGGTGAATGTAATAAAGTTGTGCTGATTTTCTTGATCAAGAAAGCTTAGCCTTTCCTAAGGCAAGTCTCTATTCGCCGCCATCCTCGGCCTCGTTCATAATTATCTTTGATCTGCTGATCCGATAACATAATGGCTAGAATATTCCAACTCTTTTTGCAAGGGTTGGTACATCTCAACTTGATAAAACCTGCCAATATTTTAATATCGCTATTTGAAACAGTAATAGGAACGACTTAATCACCCAGAAAAGGCAAAACGTAGGTAAAGGCTGCGACGCAGGCTCATTGGGGACCCAAGAAATGACGCAAATGTAACCAGATCTTGAAGAAAGATCAGATGTAAATGTTACATTTTATTTCTTTCAAATTTTATGACAGGCGAACGAAATAGCCGTATGTTTTATCGTTCAAATGTTCACACCGCGTAAAAAAACGAACTGTTGTCAAGTCCTTCTTCAGCAGACGCCATAATACGGAGCGTGCGACACCTAAAGGGGTCACGCCGATCCAACTCGTGTTCCAGCCAAAGGACTCTCCTGGGAACCGCAGCGCGGCGCCACTTTCTTGTCGCAGGTCTAACGATGACAGTTCGGCCTCTGGCTGTAACACCCACGTTACTATTTGCTCTTTTGCATGTCTTCTCCTTCTGTCTCTTGTCGTTGGTTTGTCATTTTCACCCCCAGCCAATCATATTACGGTGTTACTCAATATGAACGTCGAAGAAAAAAAGAGACTGCGAGAAGAATAAACATCATGCCACGCCATTCCGTTCTTACTTTGTCAGTTAAAATGGCATAGGTTATCGTGTTCATGCTTCTCGCGGCCGTATTCATGAGTGTGTAGGCATTGTAAAACGGCCGTATTCTTTGTTCTTCGTTTATAATCTGTAAAGCCATAATCTTATTGGCACAAGAGTGGTAATGGAAAGCCTGCGATGGTGCGGCTCCCCAGCAGCGGCGGTGCTGCTCCCCAGCAAAGTCATTTGGCCGGAACAACAGTTGGATCAACGCGCCCCCTTTAGGCTTCGCACGCCCCCAAAACCGTTTAGACAAATAAAACGGGCAAAAGATGGAACACTTCTTGCAGAGAAACGAGGAGTTGTTCATAAACTATACTGCATATTTGCACACTAAAAAGCTTACACCCTGAAGGGTGTAAACTGAAGGGTATTACACCCTTACACCCTGAAAGGTGAAAGGTGTAGTACCAGGGCTAACACCCTGGTATTACAGGAACACCATTAGGATACTGGTGAGAGCACGAAAGATAGGATTATAGCGATTTTTGCTTGAAGCATACTTAGAAACAAGCATCACATACAATTCTCACAAACACAAGCACAAAATGTGTAATTAGTTACGCAAGAGAAAGGAACCATGACCCTGGTGACTTGTACAGCGTCGTATATACGCGAGAATTCAGTGTACCCATACGCAGGTGCACCGCCTTCGCAACTGCGAGTTTTACACGCAGGATTTTTTTTTTTATTGTCAATATATCGCGTAAACCGTAATATACCAGAGTTCAATATATGCATCTCTTACAAAAAAACAACCTCTGTATGGCCAAAGTGAATTAGAGATCGTTGCTAGAACAACCTTTTCTAAAGCAAGTGTCAGTGGGGCGAACACCCTCCGAAAAACGTGTTCGCCTTCTTGGCTGCCTGTAACGCACTTTTTCACACCCTATAAAAATGCATGATGTATAATAAAAGAGCTCCCTACTTTATCATTTGTAACGGTGTGAAGTCGAGCTAAGTGTGCTGAAAGTTTTTAGTCTAGGGTATAAATCTCTGACTGCGTTTTTACACATTAAAACGTGTAAAATATATTTAGTCTAAGTATTCAAGAAGTTTCCAAAACATATGTTATTGTTATTCGCATGAAAAGGACTTGGGGTATGAGAACATGGCTGCGTCATTAAAAATATTGTTGTTTGTATTTTGTTCTAAATTTAATTACTTATATCGATATGTCTCGTTTTTTTACATATACTCTATTTGATTGTATATCAAAGCGGTATGTGTTGCCTTATATATAGAAAAAAATTATATTGCATTGCTCTCGTGGTAAATATGGTGAAATATTTCTGGCGTAGGGGGGCATTAGATTCCAGTATACTTAAATTGAACTGGCTCCGTTCTTTATGAATCTTACTAAAGTCGTCATGATTGAAGCAAGGGGTAATTATGGTGTGACGAGTCGCTTGAGCGAACTAAATCTCATTTGAAATTTATTGTTGCATAGCTGTATATGTTTTTTGGTAAAATAGATCCGGCGGAGATACTTTCACAGAGTTTTTTTTAGCACCACATTGCATACAAACACATATTCTTATACATTTTATTGTATTTTTCTTTATTTTTAACGAAATTTTTTCGTTGAATTGTAAAAGTATTTTCCTGAAACGCATAATATATTTGTAAATGATAAAAATTGTATGTAAAAAATAAAGAAAATTATTTCTTTGTATTTTAGCACCTGATTTTTCATCGTAACGTGTAGATATTATTTTGACTGCAAGAAACAACTTAGTTATAGATACTGTAGCACGCGCCGGGGTTTCACCTACTCTAAACTGCCAACCTTTCAATGCCTGGTTTTCTTTATAATATGCATAAGTGACAAAGATCACATTCTCTGCCCGTATTCATTTTCTCGCTATGTTGCGCTGGCAACTATACCTTAATAACTGTAGCCTGATTAGAATGGCGTAAATAAAAAAAAAAAACTTCAAACCATATGAAATAGACGGCGCGTGAATATATTTTGCGTGGTGGTTATTTTAATTAGGATTAATATCGATGCAATTTGTTCTAATCCGTGTCATCACGAGGTTCTTAGGATCATCTTACAAAGATGTTCGACCTGTCTTCACGTGCTTTTTTTTTTTTTGCAGGCGCGTATTGCATGATCTTTGTAACCTTGAACTCCGGTCCTGTGCCACGAAACCTTCGTAGGATGATGAAAAAAAATATAGAAATCGTTCTACTTTCCTTGGTACTCAGCCATTAGCGTCGTATTTTAAGTAATTCACATAAAGCTCAAATATCAAAATCTGAAACATAATATAATGCTGACGTATTGAACCAGACCAAAACATCGGCATAATTGCTAAAAACAGTTAGATCTGCACCTGTTGGGACAGATTAATTTATATACTATGTTCGCTTAATTGTCATAACGTATATCTATAGTTTAAATAAATAGAAACGGACATGGAATATATCATAACGGGTGACTACAAACCCCGAATTTGTTGAGCAAACCATAGCAGTCTGGGACGACCTTGAAAGTTTGCTTTTATATTATTTCTAAACACATAATTTAAACTTAAAAGGCAAGCTTTTGTATTTTTTTATGCACATAGCTACAAAAAGATACTCTTCTCGGAGTTGTGCCCGTGCGTCTCACTCAGCGGAACCAGAAACATGCAGCAATTGGGAACTAAAGTGTGCACAGTACGCAAGACTGGAGCTGTGCGTAGCGTGGAACTTACCTAATGCATCAAGCACCCAATGCGCCGCCAAGCCCGCACCCACTTTGTTGACAGCGGCGCAGGAGTAGTTTCCTTGCGTGGTTGTGGACACGGGTTCCGTCACCAGCGTGTGCCCGGTGACGTTGAGCAGATTAAGTCCGTGCTCCCAGCGGAAGTTGTTGGTGGCCGGAAGCCCGGAGTCGTTCACGTGACAAGTCAGCTCCACTCTCTGGCCCTTAAGGGGTGGTGAGGGGTCCCCTGGAATGATGCTCGCTGGTCCCGGTGGATCTGCGGATGAGAAAGTGTGTTTGTTCACTCTTTTGAAGCTACATTATCTCAATTGTCTTCTCTAAAGCCTAGCAACCTTCATTTTTCTGCGGATTAGTAATCCATCGCTGCCGAGAGACTCTAGGTGACTCGTTTTGTGAAAACAACCGTTATGTTTCATAAAATCTTGTTTCCAGTGAATCAAATTTCGGTGAGCACAAGAGCAATATTTTTATATCTAAATTTGTGTCTCAGAGATTGGTGAGCACATAGGTATACCTTAGATTGTATGTGTTATTTCACAACAGGAGCCTGAAATAAACATTTGGAACACTTTTTGAGTACCACGAGGTCTGCATACTTTAAATCGCGGCCAAACAAGATAAGAACGAAGCCCTTAGCAGTGTCAAATAGAAGAGACATGACGCTATGCTTGCGGGATACGCCAGCTAAACGAAGGAAGAAATATACAGAACAGACAGAAACACAAGGAATATACACATGCACTCCGCTGGATAACCATGAAAAACCAACCTACTCAGCTTTAGGCAATCATAACATAATGTTTGCCTTATATATCTTGGGAAACCCGGAAAGCAACGAATGGGTCGTGCATTATAAATAGCCATACCTGATTACGAGTAGAATTGGGAGGCTTTGGAGGCGTTTCATTTACGAGACACTGATGAGCTCAACGGTTTTCTCAGTATAATCTAAAAGTCAAATTTGGGGGTTTTACGTGCCAAACCAACGGCGGGTATCTGGCACGCCCCAGCGGAGGACTGAGGATTAATTTCGAACACCTGGGGATCTTTTGACGTGCAACCGAAAGCTCGGTTACATGGCGTCTTCTCCGCAATAAGCCTCCGTCAGATTGCGGGCACCTCGACCGGGATTCGAACCCGCCACATGGGGATCCGTAGGCCGACGCTCTCGCCTCGGAGCCGCCGAGGCTCAGTATAATCTAGACGATATTTAATGTTTGCAGGAGTGCAGTGTGTGAGAGCTGTATTTGTTTTAATGAGATGTTTCCGCAGGTTCTGAAAATACTTCACTGGGTAATGAATCTTCCACCGCACGAAAACTATTGACGCTGTGGCATCACGTGTTTGATCGAGCTAGGCTTTGTCACCTGGGAACAATGTGCTCGCGCCTATGGTCACCTGTTCACGCAGGCTCCCGTGAGCCGAACTTGGTCGTGCTGTTTGCGCACTCTTTCCTACTCTTTTGGCCACGAGCAAAGGTGGCGGGTTGTGACTCACATGGTTCCGGGATCGATTCCTACTCAGCCGGTCGGTAAATCTTGCACTTTTCACAAATGATTACGCATATATATGCGTCCCATGACTAATTATTTCTAACAATGCTTTATGTTTAGATATTGTTATGGCTACCGTGGGTTGGGCATACCTATTTTTCGTTGCTACGCTTTAGCGTTGCACTCTTCACATTTAATCCAGCCAATAAGCCCAATCTATATTAAAACACCCTATACTCATTACCGTGATTTTAAAGAATTTAGCAAAAGTTAGTGTTTACTAGCATGCTTCAATTTTAAGCAATTCAACAAAACTGTACACCTCAAAAATGTGGCGTCACTTGGTATAATACTATTGACATCATGATTACTAAGCAAGAACGCCACCTTTTTAAGTTAAATTATACAAGTTATTGGAGATCGCTGTGCAGTGTTATCACTGTTCATTACAATGTAACAGTAATCAAAAATCATGCTTTTTGTATTTGTTTTAGTCCGTAATTATTTGCTAACCCCGAGCATTGTTAATATTGACCCTCGTGAACTGGTGGGTTATTAGAGTTTTATACAAAGTAACTTTATTAAACATGAAACAATTACTCAAACTATGTATCCTATATTTATTATTTTTATTCGTATTACTCTAAAAAAACACCCAAGCATGCGGTATTCACTTGTGTTGAGTCGTTTTTATGAAATTTACAAAGAAATCAAGAAGAAATATTTTAAGAAAGTATACACAACTCCTTAAGGTACTCCTCGAATAACGTTTTGGTACATTAAACCAAACACCTTTGTATTAAATAAGAACAAAACGTAGGCGGATATATCTTTTTTTGTAAAAAAAGGAAAATGTATGTACCCAATAAAGAAAACATTTTAATAGACCCGTGTATAAAAATACTCCTTTCTCACATTTGTAATCGGGAACGATGTATCATGTATTTTTTTTGTGAATGAATGATGTGGCCGATCCTATAATCCTATCAGGCCTGCTATTCATATTTTATATTTGAGCGTAAACACTTGGTTTAAATGCGTCTGCGTCTGCTAATTTCTGCTCTAATAGGTTGCTCTTATCTTGGTGGATCAATATAGGCCATCGTATGCTACGCCATAATCACAACCACATAGTTACAAAGAGATGCTTTTCTAGACAGCTTACTCAAATTCAACGTTTCACTGCGTGAAACGTTGAACGTTGAAGTTTGTGCATATATTCAACGTTTCACTGCGTGAAACGTTGAATATATACTCAGACTTAGAGTTGAGCGTTCTGGTCATATGGACGATACTAACTAGATAATAAAATTTCCCAAAAACTGCACAATAACCGCCACATTTGTTACCTAAGAAAGTGTGGGGACAAAGAAAAATGAAAGCCGTTTCCAATTCCCTGTAACGCCGGATTAGAGCGCAGCTCTTGAGGAGGAGGATGGAAGCGTACTAAGGTATAGGTAACTCCTTGAGGTCACGTGACCTCAGGGGGGGTCGTGTGACGTCAGGGGGTCACGTGACCTGAGGGTCACGTGACCTTGGGCGGTAACGTGACCTCAGGGAGGTCACGTGGCGTCAGAGGGTCACGTGAACTCGGGGGGTCACGTAACCTCGGGGGGGGGGGGGGGGGTGACGTGTCCTCGGGGGGGGGGGGGGTCACGTGACCTTGATGGAGGGGGGTCACGACACCCCCCCTCCAGCGCTGCCGACGGCGTAACCGCGAGGCCACGTGACCTTGGTGGAGGGGGGTCACGTGACATCGCGGTTACGCCGACAGCGACAGCGCCGCCGATGGTCACGCCGCTCAAGCCTGAAACGGACCCCTAAAAGCTGCGCTCTGAAAGTGCTGTAATTGCAACATTGAGAAAAAGGCTATTAAAGCTATGGCACGAGGTTTTGTCTTATTCAGGCACACTCTGTAGGACCCCACGCTCGCATCAGTTGCTTTAAGATTACATAATACGTTAGAAATTCATAATTAAGCTTGTTATGACATTAATTAACAAAATTCTTGCTTTTTATTCAGTTTGTAAACAGCTTGTCCTTCTATACTTAAAGTACTTAGCATTGCCCTTTTGTAGCATTTATTTTTGATTAGTCCTTTTTTACTTCATATATGTATTTAAAATATTTTTATGCTCTCTCGACTCTTCGCAGACGTGTGATATATAGTATTCGTAGAGTCACATAGTACTCCTTGACTTCGCGAAAGCGTTTGATAATGTATTGCATTCAAAATCGTGACATAAAATAGACGACAACTTTCAAAATCCGAATTTGACGCAGTTGTTTTCGTCTTGTCTTTCCTCTAAAGAGCAATACGTGGAGATTGAAGGGTATCGATCTAGTCTCTCAGCGGTTTCGTCAGGAGTGCCGCAAGGAAGAGCTAAGCGCCTCTTTTTTTTATTTTTGTCAACGATTTGCCCAATGACATTGCATTACCTATAAGACTCTACAAAGACGACCGCGTGATATACAGTAAGATAAGCACACTGGAGGATCAGGTGGAGTTAAACAATAACTTACAAAAATTAAATAACTGGTGTGATACGTAGTAGATGGTCTTAAAACTGAAAAAAATCGGCTTTTATGACAGTAACTAGCAAGAAAAATGTTTTATATTATGACTATACCATTGATAATCAAAAACTTGCAAGAGTCATGAAATATAAGTTTTTAGGTTTAGTATTTACCTCTTACTTACGATACGATAGACACAAAGAAAATGTGTGCGTCAAAGCTAATAAGTTCTATAGATCCTCATACAAAACATCTCTAGCGCTACACCCGAAATAAAATCTTTTTCAAACAAAACCCTAATAAGACATATTATTGAGTATGCAAAAATCTTATGGGACCTGCATACCTTAACAAATTGTGCTAAAACAGAAAAATATCAGCGACTAGTCTCCAGATTCACATTTAACAAACAAAGCAGCGCTTATTCTGCCACTGAACCCTGTGAACTCGCAAAGCTTCCAACTTTTGACTCATGAACAAAATATGACAGCATGACATTTCTTTTCCACATTATTCATAATCCATCAAAATAAATTATTCCGACTAATTCAAAATTCGCTCTAATGGATCATCAAGGCACCGCCACATCATGCACATTCCCAGTCTGTCTGTACGAAATGAATGTTTTAAATTAAATTTTTTTCCTAGAGCCAGAAGCGAATGGAACATGCTACCCAAAGCCTCCGTTTAATCAACGTCACTAAGTCAATTTCTTAAAAAATTTTAAACGACTGTTTTATGTGCTATTCATTACATTTAATATATTTAACTACATTTAGTATCGTATCAACTTCTGGAGGTGCGTTCCTTTGATTTGTCCTGATCTTTGAGTGATGTATGTACATTTAGAGTGTAATTTATGCATATTTGCTTTTGTCTCTTGTTCTGTATTACATTATATTGCATTTGTTGTTACGGGACACTTCTTATCTTGAACCAGCGACTTGTATGTGTTCAGAATGTATTTTTATTTCACTCTGTAGAAGCCCTGTATGGGCTGACAGTATTAATGAAGGAATGAATTCGCTTATTCGTAAAGGTTGCCATTGAAGATAAAAATTATGTTTTTTTATCCCCTTTGCTGGAACCGGTTAAGGTATGCAGTGAATCGCGACATCTCATATCATCTGTTTTGCTTCTCAGGAGGGCTACACAATAATCCAGTACACATTATCTCGAAACATGCATAGCAACTTCCCCTGATATCTTTTGTAACTGACACAGCGATAGTACCTATGAATGTATT